GCAAAATGCACTTTTGTACGTCTTTTATACATGAATATGTGTCCCGGTGTTCCAGGGAACTCACCAAGTGTCAGAAAACACAACCCTCTCTATTTTCCTCCATACCCAAATCTCTAAAAAAGGGGCTGCAACGGATCTGATAAAAACTGATCCAGATTTGAACACTTTACTGACGTCAGGACAGTGGCGCTACGGCTATTGGGCTAACTCCACCAATCAGGAGGAGACAGCCACGGCCATTGCCCTTCGAAAGCGCTGGAGACGCTGTAGTACATATGCCAGGCCTGTAAGTGGCGCTGTAGTCTGCCACAAAAGCAGCGAAGAAGACTTGGTTACCATGGTTACCCTTCTGTTTATTCTCCGCTGTGGCTTTCTTTCTCCCTCCCCGAGGCAAGCGTTTGCGCCCGCTGCAATGCAATCCCTCCCCGTCGAGGCAAGCACTGTAATTTTCTCCGGTTAGTCCACCAGCAGATGACAAGCACCCACCTCTCCGCCTCTTCCAAGGAACGAGGGGACCGTGCGGCAGAGTTTCAGTTTCAGTTTCCTTCGCCGGTCAAGATGTCCATTAAAGTTTAAATCTTCCGGACAAAATTAGAAAAGTGCCGGTCAAAGGTCTTCTTTGTTATTTATTGAGCTTTAAAGGCCCTGACACACTAGGCCGTATTCGGCCGTATTCGGCCGTCTTCGGTTGTCTGGCGACAACGCGTTCCTTGTCGCCCAAAGTCAATTTGGTGTGTCCCGAACCCTCGGCCGTGTTGAATCGGCCAAAATACGGACACAAGCTATCGGTCCAAGAAACCACTCTGATCAGCTGCGAAACGGAAGTGAGGGACGTAAACAAACGATTAAAAAAGGCACAGGACAGCAGGTGATACTTAAAAGACATCAAACATAGCCCTTAAATGTCCTCTCTTACCTCCCACACATAGCAGGGACATCTCTGATATCGGCGGGAGCGTCCCCGGCTGTCCTCTGCTGAGAGCTCCGTGATTTGTTTGGTCAAGTCCGATTTTTCATGTCATCGGTTTATTTGTCAGTATAAAGTTGCAGGATTAGTCTCAAGTACCTCAACATTGTCCTTAAGTACAGTGTCTAAGTAAATGAGATACTGTCTACTGCTGTTCATTTACCTATTGTGAGTCGCCTCGGATAAAAGCATCACATGGAAATGTAAATTTAGCAAGAAGTGGCCATTATTACATTACTACATTGCTGACTCAATAAACTACACACCCGCCAGAACACTGCGATCATCAGATGCAGGTCTATTAACTGTGATTTTATAGTATGTCTGCACTTTATGTGCTCATTTCATCATTCATGTATTTTTATATTCTAAAACATGTTTTCGATGGACGAGAGTAAAAATGGAACGCACACGCTATAGAGTGGCGAAGTCACGCCCACTTACTTCCAGGTAATGGGACCTTATTTCGGAAAAATTATGCATTGAAGTCAATGGGGAGAGAAAACTTATCTTTCGATCCCGTTTGAATTGTGCCATGAATTACACATATGATGTTTGTCAATCTTAAAAAATAATTTCCATGTCAAAAACTTGTCGTAAAACTGTTGAAATATAAGACTATGAAAAATACGTAACTAGAAAGACTACAAATCCCAGAGTCGCGTAAGTGATGTCACAATTGTTTTGATCAGCGCCATATAGATATAATCTATCTATATGGCGCTGGCTAAGATAAGATAACTTTAACAAGATGCCTGTGTGCTTAGTACCAGGTTGTTATTATACCAGCAATGGGTCTTGCTCGTTCTTTTGCTTCCCGTCTGATGAAAGGACCAGGAGTGGCTTGATCAAGTTAGCTACCTAGCTAGTAGCTAGCACGTTAGTTAGCATTACAGCCTTGTCATTTTTATTAGCCTTAACATGAAGTAACATTAAGTAACCCAAAATGTTAAACAGTAAGAGTAGTAGTCATATTTCGTGAACCCTTTGAATAGTACTGTCACCGGTGTGATCATTCTATAATACACCATTTAAGCCCGGGGGAGAAATGCTAACGCTAACGTTAGCATCGGCGATCTTCTCTACTTCATGCTATCTGCACAAATGGTTGACATTAAACATTAAAACGACCAGGCAGTTCAGAGAGAATCAAAGGAAGGCAGGCAGGCAGCTTTGTATGACATTCTTCAGGACGTGTTTCATTGTGGTAATAGTGAGGGAAGTCAATCGTATTGTTGACAAGACAGTAGTGACGGCCATCTTGGTGACGTGTGTTGTTGTTGACCAGAGATGTAGTTCATTGAGCGGTTCACACAAACAAATGTGTTACTTCACGGTTTTACGACACATTTTTTTTTTTTTTGCCTTGCAAAATTATCTTTTAAATTGACAAACATCATATGTGTAATTCGTGGCACAATTCAAACGGGATCGAAAGATAATCTTTCTCTCTCCATTGACTTCAATGCATAACTTTTCCGAAATAAGGTCCCATGGGGCTCAACCGGAAGGGGAGGGACTTCGCCACTCTATTTGTTTGATTATATCAGTCTGTTCTTCTTCTCTGTCTTCCGGTTGTTGCCTCTTTTGAATGACGAATACACACTACCGCCGCCTGCTGGTAAGGAGAGTTATTGCCACTCACGCATGCGCAGTTCGTACGTGCTCGGCTGAAGTCTTTGCGGTGTGTTCCAGTGCGACACACGGCCAAGACGCAGGAGAACTCGTCGATGGAACTGTCGGTGTCGGTGTCGGTGTCGGTGTCGGCGAGTTCTCTGGTGACCGCCTGGTGTGTCAGGGCCTTAAAACAAATGAATAACGACTCTATAGGCCTATAATAACACGGAGGACGGAGATCTCTTTTTCTCCCCCTCTCCAGCAGCTGATCAGAGCACTCTCCCCTCTCCTGCAGGGGGGCGTGGTCAGCTGCAGCTCACAAAATCAGACCCGTAGACAGCAAACAACACATAGAGCGAAATGAGGCATGGCTAAAATGCATGATCTGTTTGGTATTTCGAAAACAGAAACGTATAAATATACCTTATATAGGTATGGCCCTACAATATATCATTTAAATATAGCATGATCGGTTTCCTTTAAGGCACGGACACACCAGGCCAATTATCGGTGTCGGTGGGCGTCAGGCCGACGATGAGCGTCGACACGCCCTACTCAGATTGGTGTGTCCCGCACCGTCGGCAGAAAACCGGCGGGCAGTCGGCAAAAGAAATCACTGTGATGCTGTTCAGCTAGCGAATCAGTGCATGAGAAGCGAAACGGAAGTGAGGGACCCAAACAAACTATTAAGAAGGCAAATCTGAGATTTCATTTAACTCCAGCTCTCGACACAGGTTCGGGAAAGCCCCATGAGCTTCTCGTTGTAGAGTGAAAATGGAACGCACACGCTATTTGTTGTTTGTTTATATCACGCAGTCTGTAAAAACAGACTAAAGAAAGCAATAGACTAGAAAATAAATAAATAAAACCTGATTCTTCTCTCGGTTATCACGCAGTCTGTCTTCCGGTTGTTGTCTCTTTCGAATGACGAATACACACTACCGCCGCCTGCTTGTAAGGAGAGTTATTGACACTCACGCATGCGCAGTTCGTACGTGCTTCTTGGCCGTCGGCTGAAGTCTTTGCGGTGTGTTCCAGTGCGACACATGGCCAAAACGCAGAGATGCGAGGCGACGCAACAGTCGGGGTCCGTCTGTGTCAGTTCTTTGTTGTCAGATATGGGTGCAACAATTCCTTCTCAAGTGTTTTTCCATACATGTTTGTAAATTGGTCAAAGATTGTACTCTGCAGGGCTGAGCAACAACTATCTGATGATATAAGCAGGTGTTGTTTTTCTCCTTGGCCAAGAAAAAGAGTATTTTGTGTATACTGTATGTCCTGTGTGCAGGCGTCATGTGATTCCTATCTGTTTGTGTACTTTGTTCCTTCATTGGGGCCACATGAAGGGTGCAGACAAACACATTTCGTGGCAAGTTATCTTCTCCTGTACTGCTTGTTGTGAGACAGTTTGTCTGCATCAGTAATAAAAGTAATAAACATACATGACTTTATTGATGCCACTCACTGGACCTATTGCAAGAAATGTTTTTTGTCATTGATTACCACACTCTGGTGCAAAGTACAGGATTTGTCTCTGTTTGTTTTCCAAGTGTGTTAATCATTTTTCAAACAATTGTTGAATACGGTGAAGTTCTGAAGGCAGCGAGATAAGATAATTATGTTAAAGGCCTCCAAATAAAAGACGGCACCCATTTTTATCTGACCTGGGACGGGACCACAGACTGTATTCAGACTCTAAGGAGACTGACATGAAAATGTTCAACGTGTCTAAACCTTTCTAACATTGCCTGTAAAAACTCACAGAAAAATAGATTGTTAAAATCCGCTACATTTGCATCAGCTGGAGGCAAAGAGATTGTCTTGTAATAGTGCTCAGAGTTATAGCGTTTAAGCGTTATAGCGTTTAAGCGTCTTTGAGCATTAAGAAAAACGCTATACAAATCCCATGTATTATTATTATTACATGGGTGACTGTTTCAAGGTTTAAAGAAGATGCAAAGGAGCACATTTTGGCCATTGTTTAACTCTGGGAAAAAAGATAATTTCACAACATAAAGGAACAAAACTCATGCCTGGAATAATGCTGGCTTACTTTTTCATCAGCACTTTCAACAAAAGTTTAAAAACAGGTTTAAGTGGAAGTAAGTGTGCAGCTTTAGCATGTGCTTACTATCGAAAAATGTTTGATAACAAGTGGCGCTAAATCAATGTAAAATATGGCCTTCTGTAAAATTGTTATGTCTAAAATAATGTATCATGTTACCCAATGTTAAGTTAGTGTTTAGATTTGAACCGTCTTTTGGCAACAGTTCCCAGTATGTCTCAACAATATCAAATAAGCAATAGCTGTTACCGCTGAACTTCACAAAGTAGATGTTGACTTATTTTCTTATCTCTAGTTTCGAATTGTACCTGAATCTGACCTCTTCTTTCAATGTTTTGGTTGGTCCTGCAGCTCAGATCGAGGTCATCCCCTGTAAGATATGTGGGGACAAGTCCTCAGGAATCCACTATGGCGTCATCACCTGCGAAGGCTGCAAGGTGAGGAGGAAACACAGAGTAAACCTGGCTACCAAACATAAATTAAACAAACCTGTTTATTCATTTAAAATGTGCTTGTCGTTTAAAGTGTTTGTATGCATGTGTGTTTGTGTGTCCTAGGGTTTTTTCCGTCGCAGCCAGCAGAACAATGCCATGTACTCTTGTTCCCGCCAGAGGAACTGCCTGATCGACCGAACTAACCGTAACCGCTGCCAGCACTGCCGCCTGCAGAAGTGTCTGGCCTTAGGCATGAGCAGAGATGGTAAAAACAAAAACCACACTGCATCCTCTTTACACACCTCCTTTTACCATGTGATTCAGCCTTAAACTCATTTATTTACCACAGATGGGGTTTGTTAAACTTTCTCTTACATTGGCAACATTTAATAGATTTGTTTCTCTGGCAATCCCAGTACATGTGGTCCTTTTAATGAAAAGCTTATACGAGGAGAATTCACAATCACTATCCTGACAAGGCTTGCCACATGTTAACCTGTTCTGTAGGTTTAAGAAAAAAAACACTAGGTGGCAGAAGTACAACAATAAAACGTTTTAATTTGATTGAGCTGACGGCTATAGAGGTGAAATGTATTTTGGTTGCAAAAACTATGCCAAAAAAAGTATTGTTTTGTTTTTGTGTTTGTCTACTATAATAAAACGCATTTTATCTCTTTAGCTGTCAAGTTTGGTCGTATGTCCAAGAAGCAGCGTGACAGTCTCTACGCTGAGGTGCAGAAACACCAGAAGGCCCAGGAGGCTTTGGGCTCTGCAGGCGGTGGTGCTACAGCTCTGTCCTTACACAAAGAGGACGGTGTCTGTGGCAGGGAGGGGGGCAAGGAGAGTCTGAGCCGGTCCTACAGCAGCGGGGGCTCCAGCTCCACCCTCAGCGACCTGGACGACATCGCCACGCTGCCGGACCTGTTCGACCTGCCGCTGACCCCCGAGGAGGCCAGCGACTACTGCAGCATGGAACTGATCGGCGGTGGAGCCAGTGCGGGGAACACCTCTGCCTCATCTTCCTCTTCCTCCTCCCCATCCTTGTCCAATCAGAATTCCCCGCAGCAGACTATGCTGGACGGGGCCGACAGCAACGGGATCCAGATTCTGCATCCTCACACACATGCACTGCTGGACCATCTGCCTAATGACTGCTCAATAACAGAACTCGGTAAGTACTGACATGATAAAGGACAACTATTTCCTCTTTATTTTAATCGCTTTGTGCAAACACAGAGTCTCAGAGTTTATGACAATAACTAAAACTCTATGTACTTAAATAAAGAGAAACTAGGTCTTTAATAAATAATTGATATTATGAGAGACAAGGCAAGAGGCAAGAGAGGCAATTATCTGTGAGGTTCAACTTTTTATGTTTTGTCCCATTTTAGTTTTATGTATTTTCTTGCTCTTTGCTTTTAATGAAAATGTGAAACTGTCTGTTTCACATTAAATCGCTCACTGAACAAAGAACAATGTTTAAAGAAGGATTGATATGAACATGTTGCACTGTAATTCTATACAAATATAGTAACTGTTGTACTGCCAGGCCATTATATGTTTCTATTTTCAAATGTACAGTAAATTATGATGCGGGCACATGTAATTTAAAACAAAACAATTGTAAAGAAAACCCCCACAAAGATTAGGTTTTTAGGACATATCTTATAACAGGGTTCATACACATTTTCACCAATGATTTTCAATGACTTCTCCATGACCTTTACCTACTTTTCCATGACCAAAGAAATTACTCTTTCTCAGCGGTACCACTGAAAATGCTTTATTTTAACATGGAACAGGAAAATAAGGTCTGCATTATGAAACATGTTGTGCCTATCTAAAACAAATCCAATAGGCTTACTAGCTTCTACAGGCTAAAGCAACTAAAATCTCTCACCAGCAAAATACCTGCCATTTTACGTTTCATTACTATACGATACAGTATTTATTATCATTATAGTATTACTATTTCGGCGATTAGATCAAATATAAATTATATTTGATGCAACTTTAGTTACATTTCCATGACTTTTCCAAAACTTTGGGAAAAATATTGTTTTCCATAACTTTTCCAGGGCCTGGAATTAGCATTTTGAATTTCCATAACTTTTCCAGGTTTTTAATGACCGTAAGAACCCTGTTATAAGCAGGTAGAACCAGAATAATACACTACAGATGGATAGTGCAGCAAAACAGAAAGTAAGATCTGTATCAGCTCGAAACAGGGACAGATGAAGGGATGATGGTGTGGTGGTAAGAAAAGCTCAGCATTTTTAGGAGGCCTTGAGGAAGAATATATACTTTTATTTGACATCTTTATGGTTGTTGGCATCACCAAACCATTGCATGGAGGCTTTAATAGAGCTCTTGGGACCTCTCAACGAAGCAATGAGTAAATATTGTGACGGGTGGGTTTTATAAGTGCAGGAGGTGGAAGAGAGCCAAACAGCTGCGGATGTAAAATGAGTCGATGAGCCTTAACCCTTTATCTTGTCCGGGCATCGGTGCCAGAAGTGAGAGCAGAACGGTGCAAAGCATCAGGTTTCCATGATCTGTGGTTGTGCAAATAACACCACTCTTACATATAAAACCTGCTGCCATCACAAACAACCTGAGTGAGGAAACACTGTTGTTTATCTGTGTATGTTCTTTTGTGTTTTGACAGAGCGCATCACTCAGAGTATTGTTAAGTCCCACTTGGAGACGTGTCAGCACAGCGCTGAAGACATGAAGAGATTCACCTGGGTACAATACGCGCCTGAGGAAACACGTGCTTTCCAAAACAAGGTATGTGATTCACGCTTTTAACCCTGTGTGTGTAAAGTCTTCTGTTGCTCTGGACTACAGGAGAGATGTAGAGTGTTTTGCTTTGGATTAGTGTATCAGTGTTAAGATATTATATCAGATCTAAATATGCACTTTTAAACTGACTTAATTTAGCTCACTGTGCTGATATTTTTAAAGTCTCACACATACTCACACATAAACACAGGCATTATTTTTAACCTGATCTGATGTTGAACACTGCAGTGTTTCCAATGGACTAGTAACACTCTTTTTTGTGTCACTTTTTCCAGTCAGCGGAGTGGATGTGGCAGCAGTGTTCCCACCACATCACCAATGCCATCCAGTATGTAGTGGAGTTTGCCAAACGCATTGCTGGCTTCATGGACTTGTGCCAGAATGATCAGATAATATTACTGAAAGCAGGTCAGTGCACAATCTAACATGGGTCACATCTCAAATACTTTATTTACATAGTTAATTGTTGAAAAGTAAACCGTGTCTGAAACTTGCTAACTTGATTTCCTTCCTGTTTTTTTTCTCCAACCCTCTACCTTTGCCTTTTTTGCCATCCATTTCTTTATTGTAATAAATTACACATACCCTGTTAAAAACTGGGAAAAAAACATTCATTCATGACATGACATTGTCTTTCTTAATCTGATCAACACATATGTATCTGTAACATGAAATACATATATTTAAATATTTTGAATTTAAAAAAATAAATGTGGATATCCATGGTATCCTGTTGATTTGTTTATCTGTTCATAAATGTGCACTAATCTGGATTATTATTATAATTTTGTTGTGTTTCGTGCATGTTGGAGCATTTTGGCCCCTTCCTGTCCCTCCGTCCCCCCCTTCCTATTCTTTCTCCCTCTCTCTCTGTCTCCTCCTGTGTCTAACCTTTCAGGCTGTCTTGAGGTCCTGCTGATACGTATGTGCCGAGCTTTCAACGTAAACAACAGCTCCATTTTCTTCAACGGAAAGTTAGCCCCGGCTCAGTTCTTCAAAGCACTTGGTGAGGATCAGATGCATTCACATAATTGACAGGGTGACAGAGGAAAGCCTTGTATCTGTCTGGCTCTTTATGTAAGTGAAAGTCTTTTTCAGACACACTGTGCAGTAATCACCATTCAATTATCTTAAATGACTTAACTTTGGTAATTGTTCTTGATTACCTTATAAGACAGTACTGTCCTGTCACCAGCCAGATCTGGCTTTGAAGAGATGTAATGGAAAGCCTCCAGCTTGATGTTGGTTTCCTATTTCTGTCTTGACTATTTAGTACCACCAGATCTGTTTAACAATGCAGACTAGTGGGAAAAAAACAAATTGTGTAATTTTAAAAGATAGTTAATGTCAGATTCTCTGTGAGCTGGTGAAAACAATCGGATCGGAATTTCGTTATATAACTTTCCCACCATGGAAGAGCCATAGTTACCCTTCCAAGCCAATAAGGCTATATTACCATATATAGCAAACCTGTAAGCCTTAATCATCCAAGGTATCTCTAAGGTCCAAGATCAGTTACTTCAATTAAACAGGAGTTTTTAATGCTGACAATTAATGTATTTATTTCCTGTCTATGCAGGTTGTGATGACCTGGTCAGCGCAGTGTTTGACCTGGGAAAAGGACTCTGTCGTCTACAGCTGTCTGACGAAGAGATGGCTTTGTTCAGTGCTGCCGTGCTGCTATCTCCTGGTAAATATTATTTTTCTTTCTATAAGTTATATTATTGGAAAATCATCATAGATACATTTATGTAAGCAGCAATGTGTAGTGTGAAGATAGGGCTAATGTAACTTATTATCAAACTAAATCAAGTGTTTTACATGTTTGGGGAATTGTGTAGGAATATTTACAATTTTACTGAATTTCCATTTGATTGAGTTGTCATATTGTGCTTACACAGAACACAGATTGTCTGACAATGTGGATTAAGGCTACTAAAGGAGAACATAACTGTATGTTAATGGATGCCTATTTTCTTTTCTGTAGGTCGACCCTGGCTAACAGAAGGCCAAAAGGTTCAGAAACTCCAGGAGAAGGTCTACCTGGCTCTGCAGCACAGTCTACACAAGAGTGGGGCTTTTGAGGAGAAACTGGACAAGGTAAAGACAAGCAGTTTCAATTATTCTCAAACACATACAAATGTATGCACATGAAGACACACGTACATGAACTTACCTTTGTATATCTTCTGTCCCCACAGATGGTGTCCAAGCTGCCCATAATGAAGTCAATCTGTAACCTCCATGCGGATAAACTGGAATTTTTCCGCTTGCTCCACCCGGAGACCGCCTTCAGTTTTCCACCACTGTACCGGGAAGTGTTTGGCAGCGATATGACTCTGCCTGACTCCACCAACAGCTAGACAGAAAAAACAGGAGAGATGTAGAGAGTGTATTAAGAGGTAGGGAAACGAAAAAAGGAGGGACAGAGAAGGATAAAGAAAGCTCAGCAACCAGCAGTTTAGAGACAATCCAGGACTAAATACTCCGTCTCCCATGATCCCAAAGTAGTCCTCCACTTTCCCAGCAGGCAAAGCACCTTACACTACAGACCACACATGCTTATGGTCTCTGCATATTGTAGCATTAACAACAAGCGGATGGGCATCGTAATAATAAAAGCCCATAAAGCATGATACAGCTCCAAGCTCTCAGACACTTATTTAACATCAGATCCACTGTGGATCACCTAACCTTTTATGAATGTACCTCATCAATAAGCACCAGTGCACAGAGTAAGAACCCAACAACAGTGAATGTACAACCCTGCCACTTTAATGCAGGGTTTTACACAAGGTATGAGTCGTGTTGATCCATAGGTCTCACTAATATTACATCTCTCAGTCAATATGGTGTGCCTGCGTATTCTTACAGACAATATCCTTGTACTGACCATCACTTAGGGACCAAGATCATGACTCTTTTTGTCTGATATAAAAAGAAACACACAGATATGATTCACGGCTCAGGCTGATCTCTTTTAATCATCAGCTTCACACACGCATGTAGACAGCATTTGGTGCTGCCTTTTTGTAGGCTCATGTAATGCAATGAGAAACCTCAATCCCACTCACCCCTTTCCTTGTAAATGCCACTTAGAGACAGGAAAAGATGAAATTATCTTTAATTTATATACACATTTATAACAAATATTTTAAATGAGATGTAAATAGATGACTATATAAGTATATTGAGAGAGTTGGAATGTGTGAGTTCAGTTTAGAGAGAAAGATGCTTAGTAAGACGAAGAAGAGAGAAAATGGATATTTCAGGAAAGCCGATATACGGACTCAAATCGTTTTCCGGACTTCTTATGTTCCTGACAGTGATCTCAGGTTTCCATAGCAACAATCCCCTCTTGCCCTGACGCTGAAATCCAGCTGGGTTAGTCGCGGTCATCACGCAAGCAACGGGGTGGACATTTGTGGCAAATGCAACACAGCAGGGGGGGGCAAACAAAGGTGAAGAAAATCATTGCCTTTGTCTTTCTGCCCTGCCTGAAGAGACAACAGGACAAACAAGGACCCTAAGGACAAGACAAAGGATGACTTTACGAACTGTATAATAAAATGGGATACACAGGGTCTGCTCAGCTGTTTCTAACCAGCAGTTAGTACAGTCGGTGTAGTATAATTGTCTTTCACTCATCCATAAAATGTATCATAAACCATCCTTGCTGGTTGGAGCAACTAGTATTTTGTACATTTGCTGTCCCTCTCACTTTGTCCCTATCCCAACACTTGTCCAAACACCAAGCACTTACACTTTTCCTCTTCCTCACTGGACACTAATCTAAGGCCCGACAGAGCTAACAGCTGCCCCCTTGAAGATTTCATTATTTTTAGCCAATCTGTTTTATCGTATCGGTCATATATGGTCCCCCAAGTGTTTCCATTTTTCACGTACATAAATAACACGCTCTCTGAAAGTTGTTATGGATGATGATGATGATGATGTCTTACTCGGGGTGATGTGAAATTCTTGAGCAGAGTCTGAGGACCTGCCGCTCAGGTTGCTAGCTGTGGTCTCTAGCTGTCGCTTTATTACCAGTGTTGTCTTTTAGCCTTGATATCCTGACACCTTTGCACCTAAGATGAGACCCTTAACCCTAATCACTGTGGACGTAAATTCTATTTTTGTGAATGTTGCTCACAAAGTGTCAAAGCCTTTCCCTTTTATCCTAATATTGTGAAATCAAATTTACAAAACATAGGAGTAAACAAGAACCCTGCAAATAAATATGTAACTTTAAGATTAATTGATTATTAGGGTTTAATTGTCTTTTTTGCTGTGATTTTCAGTTATTTGACAGTCTTTTATTCACCGTTTTTATCTGTCTCCATTTTTCGTCTTGCAAAGTCTGTGATCAATTGTTTTGGAGAAAGTCACAAACAAAAAATAGTCGTTTGTCTCCCTTTTCTTTGCCTGTATGACAACATGTACAAGAGGTATATTACTAGTCCAAAAGTAACTGAGTTACTCAGCTTGATATATATTGTTGTCCAATGGGATACATATGTGGTTTTAAGAATGTAATAAATGTTTTTTTTTCTTTTGAAAATGTGTCATTAAGTCTTATTTGACTTTGATTGTCGATTTGCATGTTTGACAGGACTTGCATACTGTTGAGTTATCAGTCTAATCAGTCTTCAATCAATGATCTCATTTTATGATCCTTCAAATGTAAATGACCATGATTTGAATCACAGATTAGCATTTGTAAAGTATACACACTGTATAACCTTACATGCCATAACCTTACAAATGCAACATTAAGTTAATTATTCAATTGACAAAAAAATGATCTCCAATGTTTCTTTTAAAATATTGATCATTGTAATAATGTATTATTATTAAAATAAAATTATCTGGTTGCAACTTTTCCAATATGATAATTGTATGCATTTCTCCATATCACAAATTAAATATAATTGAACCTGAGGTACAAGTTTACCTTGTAAACAATAGCTATAATAAGATTTAACCAAAGTCTTTAAAAACAGGCTTCCTCCAGAGCTTTTCGGGAGCAACCAGCTCTTAAATTCTTCCTTGATGGAGGTTTTTTCTCTCACAAACTTAAAACAATTTAGCTATGGCTCTGTGAAATTGTGATCGTTTTTTTCCCCCCTAATTTATGACATTTTCTGAACCAGATGATTAATCGAGAAAACCTTGATCAAACTGATAAAGAAAATGATCATTAGTTGCAAACCTAGATGAACTTAATAACTAACACACTTTCAAAGATTCCATTACCGAATTGGACCAAAGTCAGGTTGGAAATGTTTTGACATTTTGTATGTTTTTTTCCCCAAAACTTTGTCCATATATATTTTGTATCATATCTAAATTACACATATCTTGTAAAAGAACCGTACATTTGTATATCGTATTTTCAGACTGTATTGGAATGTTCTTCCTCTACCAAAAATGGTCACTACCGAAACATAGTAAATACACTGTAGTAAAAAAGTATTATATTAACCTGTGAAGATTGTTTTACCTTCCCTTCTCTAAATAGTATTTTAACAAATATTTCTTGAGGGTTTTCACAATTAAATCAATGCAATTTAATTTGTAATCAAATTTCAAAGTTCAATTTATACAATTCATAAAAATCATAATGCAAACTTTCTTTGTAAAATGCATAATACTGATCATATTGATTCCAGAGTTGATGATTGTTGAAATTGAACATACATTAAACCAATCAGTATCATATCATTTTAGTTGATAAGTCAATAGGCTATACTTAATTTTTTACAAAACCTCCAGTGTTTCGGTAGTGACCACAGTATTTTGTTCTCAAGGTTGTATCATATTCCCTCAACCTTATTGCTTAATCTTAACTCATAACATGCCTTATGTTGAAGTGTGAATGTGTAAAGCTACTGACCCAGAATCAGCACTTTAGTAACAGGCTGAAATAGAGGGGAATGAGGCTAGAATTGGTGATCTGTTTGGTATTTTGAGCAAAACACTTCAGACATGTTTTTTATATATCTGAGACCTATAATATATGCCTAACAATAGTATAATAAGAGACCTTTAAAGTAACACACTGATTTTCAAACTTTAAAACACATTTATTTCAAAACTATGGGATTTACCTGCTTACTATTCAATTTCGTCACCACCGAAACGATCATGTAAATTACCGAAACTTAACCATATGTTTCGGTAGTGACGATTCTAGCTAGAATTGAGCATAACTAAAGAGTGCTAGCAAGTGCATGGCTAGCATAAACGTCTTTGAAGAGGTTTACACACATAAAAACCTAATACTTTGCATAAAACCCTGAAAAAGTTTACTTAATTGAAGATAATATGTGTTCGGTAGTGACAATTCTTAAGGTTACATGCCAATTTTCAGATTTTGGAACAGATTTATATCAAAAGTATGGGATATAGCTACTTGCCATTCAGCCATGAGGGACAGGGATGCAGTGTCACTGCCTTGTCAAAAATGCAGGGCTGTTGCTAAAAACCAGGCTCAGCCATTGGACTAAAACCCCTTGTGTTTCGGTAGTGACATGAAAACTGGGGACATGATTTTTTGAGTAGGTCTATAGTTTTTTTATTAAAAAAATGATACCCACAATAAATCTAAATATTCCAACTTCTGTTTGAATGTAATCATAAAGATCTTCTAAATACACCATTGAACAAAATTTAAAAAAATGTTTTAAGTGTTATTTAAAGAAATTGAAATTTAGATGTCAGGGTTGGGGACAGCTACTTCCCAATAGAAAGTACCCTATAAATGATGTTTTTGTATATTAAGCTTATCACTATCTAATTGAATGCCTTATGTTTAAATAGACCATAACATATTCTTAGTAAATATCTATGTCTGAATACTTAATTGTTTTGTTAAATCGTTTTACTTGTTGTGGGACCGCACTTTGTACTAATTCGGTAGAATGCCCCATATATGTGTGTGTATATGTGTGTGTTGGGTGTGTTGACCCATTTTATCCACCAGGATGGATCCTCCCACATGAAGCTTGGCCAGGAAATTGCGGTTGCCTAGCAAGTTTCACATCCACGGTGCAAAGTTTGAAGACGTGTAGCTCGGCTGCTTTCTGGATCCTGTAAAGTACAAACTCACAGAAAATTTTATTTCCCCGTCTAGGTCCAGGTGACAACACTGACGGTGCAAGATGTCCGTCGCGGGATTTAAGAAGCAATTTTACAAAGCGAGCCAGGTAAAAGGGCGATTTTATTGTTGAAAAAAAACAAACATTAACTGGTAGCTAAGCTAACGATAGCTAACTGTCGTTACTTTTATGTAATTGGCAGGCCTACTTTGTAAAATATGATGTATTTGCTTTTGGATTTATATACGTAACCTTTATAAAACGGTTTCACTATACGGTATACGTCTAGTTATATTGTTATTAAACTCTTCAACAACTGTCAAATGTGTTTTTGCTCACAGGTTACGTCAACGTTAACTCTTAACGTATGTCAATGTAACGTTAGAGTGATAAGACTTTGACGTGTGTAACGTAAAGTTAGCTAGTTAACTTAACACTGAATGATACTAACGTTAAAAATGCATTTTTGTAGTTTGCTTAGTTTGTCGTTTTTCTGCCCTAACGTATTGTAACGATAATGAAGCAATACTTTTGTAGAGCGTTGCATAACGTTAAACATGGTAAACTTAGTCAACTTTAATATTTGATAAACGAGTTTCAAGCCACATTTAGTCCAACTTTTAGTATTTCTCCCGTATCCAACGTTTAAGTATGCCTACAGGCTAACGCTATGACTGACTCATACATCAGGCATTGAAAGGATGAGTCTCTGGTCTGAGGAAGATACTTTTTATGATTGTTGGTGGATTCATCGTGTTTTTTATTTAGTTTGGGTTGGTTTACCAGCAGGTAGATTTGTCACTTAAGTTGTAATACCTCAAAGTAATGTTCATGTTTGCTATCTCGTCATGTTTTCAAAACACATGACAAATTACTCAATTTGTTGTGGTGATATTATGGCTCAAATCTCACAACACGTGTTTCTGTCATCACTCAGCTTTAAGTGTCCCCTATGTTTCCAACAATAGAACTGAGCTGACCTTTGAGCCATGTTTAATCTCATGACATTGAGATTTTTTTTCATGTATATTTATTTATCTTTACATTTCTTTTATTCGGATTTATCAAAGAAAAGGCATAACATAGAGTCAATTATTTATCTCTAACATAAAACAGATCCATAAAGTCATGCAGGGAAAGGGATTATTTGCTATCATCTAAATGCCATACTTTTTTCTCATTTGCAATATGAACCTTACAGTTTCCATGTGCTCACACTGACATCAGGCCATTTAAACTAAGAGAAGCAAGTCAAATGTATTCAAATGGGAGTGACTTGCCAAAGTCTGACTGCCTCCATGATGTGTACAGACGTTCACACTTCACAGTAGTCTGATTATCTTGTAGTAATTGATCTGGGTTTCCTTGTGCGTTCAATATGGAAGTTGCACTCATCCTACCTGTTCAAAAAAGATAACTGTTGGCTCTCAAGACAGTTAAACTATAAACACACCACTACAAACATGAAGCTCAATAACACATAGCCTGCAAAACCAGTGGCCTATGTTTTGATGACACTTGCCTTGCAACAGGTCCTTGCTTTGGCATTATGTGACTGGTTGGTGACACCTCCTTTCTCAATGGGTGTGTAATGGAATCTTAGTTATCTGAATACTCTGCCTAAACCAGCTTCCAACTTTAGTCATTATGCTAACTAGACAGATGTCATTCAAATAAACAGGGTCTTATAACAGGGTGGAGGAGTATAATCCATTCTGTAAGTTAGTTGCCTTGGTTACTCCAAGTCATACCACCATAAAAAAAACTGGATTTTATAAATAATTTTAAATAGTCTTCAGCTAAATTGCCAACCAAACATATAAAGCTGACATTGTACACATGGTGCTTGCACCTGCTGTTTCATAATGTTCTGCATCATGTTATAGATAGATAGATAGATAGATAGATGGATAGATAGATGGATAGATAGATAGATGGATAGATAGATGGATGGATAGATAGATAAATGGATAGATAGATGGATAGATAGATAGATAGATGGATGGATAGATAGATAGATAGATAGATACTTTATTGATCCCAAAATGATTTCGTTACAGAAGCAGCAGTGTGTTCAGACATTCAAATACAAATACTTTAAAAAAAAAGTGGAATAGAGATGTTAGTGTCTTTTGTCATTTTCTTGTGTTTTGCTTTTGTCAACAAGAGACAAGACTAAACGCAAATGCTTTTTATTAAATGGGTTTAATTTGTTTAACCCCTCTCCTAAAACTACAATCGAAACACAAGTTTTTCAAGATAGATTACATTGCATAGTAAGACCAGGATCGGCAGGTTTATTAGTCATGGAGGACAAAATCCTGTGCTGGCAATTATAAAGCCAGATGCTGAAAGTGTGTTTCTACATGGCACAAATTAACATCTGGTACCAAGAGATTCATTCATTGCAATTAAAATGCTGTTTATTAGACTTCATCATTTGGGAACATGTGGGGCTGAATTATCGCCCATGAATCAATTGGGAATCAGTGCTTTGGGCTTTTTAAGAACCACTGACTGTTTCCTACAAAATAACTTTACCAAGCCTGTGCATTGTATAAACTGAAGAGATAGATTGATCCATCTGGTCATAGAGTCTTGTGTGCAGTATGGTGCCGACAGCTGCACAAAGTTGAACCAAATGCGAAAACACACATGCACACACACAATGAGTCTCTGTTTGGCCTGCCAGCCAACTGCACTGGATTTTAAGGTTTGTTGCTCTGAGGGAGAAATAGAGTGCCTTGTGTGAATCAGGATATTAATTGAGAGGAAGATAAATGTATGGTGTGTGTTTAGTAAAAGCATCTATGGATGTGGTTGTAGTGTAGGAAACTGCAATGTGTGTGCTTACCTGATTGGGCAAAAAGTGAAAACCCTTAGCAGAATTCATTATGGAACGCAGACTCCCAGTAGAGAGGAGTTGAGGTTCCTCCGTTAACGGAAAACATGGGTATGGCTTGGAATTTGAGAACTGTGTTAACCAGGCCTGGAAAATAAGGATCTATTCAATATCCCCTAAAACCTGGGCACCCCTCTGTGACCCTTAGGGGCCCTTAGTGTTCATATCTGTCAAAATATACTATGGCCTTCATACTTTATCATCATTGTTAAAACAAATCAGTAAATGACAGAAAATATTTAGATATCTGTTCTTATCCTTCATCAGCTCAATAATGTTATGTTCTGTAATTGGCGTTCCAATAGGAAATGCAGTGAAAGATGGTAATATATTAACAATATTGTAATGAGTATTACAAAATATTAAACAATATTTTTACCGTACACAATAAGGAAAGTATTTATCCTTCAGTTAACTTCATGTCTTTTGAATCTCTGTTTTCACAGCTGGTGAGTGAGAAGGTTGGAGGTGCAGAGGGAACCAAACTGGATGAAGACTTCAGGGACCTCGAGAGGGTAAGTTACATACATTTAAAAATATATCCTTAAGAAACATGTAGAATAACAATATTTTCTTTTGTTTTACTAAAAGTTGTGTCGCAAATTCACAAGGGCATACATCTGGGCATATAGATTATTGTCTGTCTCTATCCTGTACCACCAGAAATCCGATGTTACCAGCAAAGCAGTGATTGAAGTCATCAATAAAACAACAGAGTACCTCCAGCCCAACCCCGCAACAAGAGCTAAGCTTACCATGCTCAACACGGTGTCCAAAATGCGCGGGCAGGTCAAGAGTCCGGGATACCCCCAGCCTGAGGGGCTCCTGGGGGAGTGCATGACTAAGTATGGACGGGATATGGGCGAAGACACCAACTTTGGTAAGAACAGAGGCAGTTAGAGGATGGGATATAGGGTGGAAACAATATGTATTTTATGGTGTATGTTCGTTCAGGGTTTGACCATTAATCTGTTTAGTATAGTGCCAATGATTATTATTAATGTGCATCTCTCAATAATGCCTGTGTGTGTGTGTGAACGTACAGGTGGAGCTCTAGTAGACATTGGGGAGTCAATGAAGAGGATGGCCGAGGTCAAAGACTCTCTGGATATTGATGTGAAACAGAACTTCATTGACCCGCTACAGGCAGTCGCTGAGAAGGATATCAAAGACATTCAGGTAGAGTCTAAGATTTGGTATGCTTCCTGTACAGGCCAGGCAGTGAACAATAAGCTCTGCAGTCTGTGTGTCAGCTGCAATAGTAAAACAAATATTTACTGTCCTGGTACATAAGGGTTTAATTAAATTCACATTTAAATTTAAATCATGCAATTTTATCATGAAAATACTTAGATCTTCATGTGATACTTCATCCTCCCAATCCCAACTCTTTCCGCCCCTCAGCACCACCTGAAGAAGCTCGAGGGCCGCCGTCTCGACTATGATTATAAAAAGAAACGTCAAGGTAAAATCCCAGATGAAGAGCTCAGGGTGGCTCTGGAGAAGTTCCACGAGTCCAAAGAGATGGCAGAAGGCTCCATGCACAACCTGCTGGAAACAGATGTGAGTAACGCGGAGACTGATCTTTGTTGCAATGCAGACAGCACATTAAAAGCTACTCGAGTTGTTTATAAAATGATGCAAACACTGCAATAACCTGGTTTATAAAGTAGGCAAAGAAAACATGACCAGTGTCAGTAATCCATAATAGATTTAGTGTATTTAATATCGCATCTGATTCAATTGCCCCTAAGAATCACTATTAGAACCTTATGAAACAATATCTGAACAATCGTAAAATGTAAACTGTTTGATATTTTGTCCATTGAGTACCTGCTATAATATAAATTCTGGCTCCATGCTTTATTCCTACAGCCTCTCAGCTAGCAAGCAACGTGTTAATCCTTTTAAGAACAGTATGTGTCAGGTGACATGTTTTGTTCTTTTCCACAGTGACTTGCAGAAGTTTGAGCTTGTCGAACTGGTTTTGCTTAGTGTTTACCATTTTAACACATTCTATGATGAGATTTACAAGAGGGAAGTCATTCTGATAAACAACAGCTGTAATGATAAACAAATAGAATGATGAGAGAATAGAAACGGCTAATGTGTAAGGACTGTTTTTAAGGACCACTGCTGTTTGTGTGTTAGGCCTTGTTCTAAAATAGATTGTGTCTGCTTGTAGGTGGAGCAGGTGAGTCAGCTGTCTTCTTTTGTGGAGTCTCTGCTGCAGTACCACAAACAGGCGGCGCAGGTCCTCGAGGAGCTTTCTGACAAGCTGAGAGAAAGGTCAGTGGCGTGACTATTTGAACATACCTATTTGAATACATCATGCCTTATGTATGTCGAGGCCGTGTCCTCTGGCTTGTGACATGTGAAGATTCAGGACCATTTTATTTTTACCAAAAATGAATAAAAGCAGTTACTGACGAATTATTATTGACTTTTCCCTTATTACAGAAATGAAAAACGATCTTTACTAAATAATAAATAGAGTAGATTTGTTTTGATTCTGCTAATTTACTTGTAGTAATTGTATCTCTTTATTTGATCTGCCTGTATCTGTATTGGTGATGTGTTTTCTTTCTGATTGTGTGCAGGGTGACTGACGCTCAGGCTCGTCCAAGGCGCGAATATGCACCCAAACCCAGACCAGTGTATGACTATGGAGAGGTGGAGAACTCTAACGGAGCATACACACCAGCTGCATCAACCCCTCCAGCCTACTCTCCAGGTAAACTCACTTTTTAAATATGTTGTGAGAGTGTGTGTGTGTGTGTGTATATGTGCACAAGGCCTACTCCCAAGAAGGCATGTGTGCAAGTCAATCTCATTCTTAAGACTGATGTGTCTTTCCTTCTGCGACATTAACCAGCCCCAGCACAATATCCAGGTCCAGCCTTCCAAAGAACCTCCGTCAAGAGCAGAGCGCGTGAGTGAGAAAAGATAACGTGTCACCTACAGGGAACTCGAAAGTTTCACTACTCTCACTCACACTGGAGCACATCTCTGTGGCGCAGAGGTGTCTGCATGTCTGCGTCATGTTCAAGGATTGGACTAACATAACTGAATGGTGTTTAATGTATCCAGTCGGTCAGGTCCCAGGACAAAACAGGGGTTGTTGTGTGTGATTTATAACTGTCTGTCCAAGGCTGCAGATGCATATAATTGTCAGCAAACAACTTTCAAGTTGTGTTTTAAGTGATCAGTGATTGCAGTAGTTAATCAAAGTTGTCAGTTCAATCTAAAATGTTATAGTTTTACTACCTGCAGTCACGGTTTTGCTGAATTGTATCTATCTGTATGTATGCCTGTCTAATAACTGATAAAGCTTCTGAACCTCTAGAAAAATCTTTACATGCCACACTATACAGATATAGTCAGGGTTAATCTAACGGTAGAATGCCTCTGGCTTAGACTTGACAAAAGTTATATTTGGAATAAATTAGTTTGGCTGTCATGACATTGATTTCAATCTTAAGGTTCAGAACAATTCTCCTTTGCCTCACTGCTGACTAACTCATAACTTGGTTTATTCCACAGTCATACTGGAAAACATACTGGTGACACAGGAAATACTAATCTAATTGAAGGGAAATTAATTAAGTGACCTTATTAGTTGTTTCTCCTTCCTTTAATCCCCACCTTTGTCTCTCTTTCTGTGCAGCTGAACCTTGTTGTAAAGCCCTGTATGACTTTGAGCCAGAGAACGAAGGCGAGCTGGGCTTCCGCGAGGGCGACATCATCACCTTGGTCAGTCAAATCGATGAGAACTGGTTCGAGGGAGCCATTCGCGGCAAATCAGGATTCTTCCCCAACAACTACGTGGAAGTGGTGGTGCCTCTGCCACACTGAAAACAGCCAGGCAAGATGAGAACTGCAGAACGGAGAGGGTGAATAGTGGCAGAGGTAGTGATTTCAAACTTGCAAAAAACCAAAAGATATTTTCTCCTTATTGTAGTAATCGCATAACCATCTCAAGATAAAGACCTTATATGTACCTAGGAGTTATTGAGTATAGAGCTTTTTTTGTATTCTGTCAGATTATGTCAACATTTAGTTGTAATAGTAAGGAAAGAGGGGTTTTTAGTGACAGCTTAACTATTGGGTGACTGCCTTTACAATATCTTAAGTATTTACATTCACTCTCAATGCACCTGTGCACTTTGTACACTACACCTCCATTACCGGGACTGATGAAGAAAAATCGAGACAAGAAAGACATCTGTAATGACGTGCAGCCGTTTCAAACACTAAGACGTGCAACTTTATTCTTTCATTCTTAACCTACTTTATATTTACAAGACTACATTTCTTGTTTTATGTACTGTTTATACTGGCATGTATACGCATGCATTCTTCCAAACACTATTAGCTACACTCCCAGTTCTCACTGTGCCTTCAGGCTTAAGTTTTGTAAGTAAGTTAACATGGAGGACTGCTTGCCTTCTGTTGGTGTTTATGACTATCCTTTACTGCCATCTAGTGGACCGAGAGATCATTCTTAGCTACTGGCGCTGTCACACAACCTCTATTATCTTTTACCAGATACAAAACAAACCAAAACAATATTTGACCAGATCCTTGTTTTAGGGGGCATGTCTGTTTAAGGTAGAAAACGTTTCTTGAAAACATATATAAAACTTGAATAATCGCTGATATCAGTTCAGCCGGTAACATTGACTGACTGCTGTATCGAACATGTTTTCATTCTTGCCCCCTGCTGATCAGAGAAACTGACATTTTTATAAACGCATATATATTCGAGACCAAAATAAGTGGTTATGTAGTTGATTGTAAAGAGCTGGAGGGCGACCATAAATATGCCTAGTTTTATAACACTAACTGTTGCCACGTTATTATTGATTTAATTTATCCAGAGTTCCTCACTGCACTCCACTGTCTCTTACAGCTGATTCCCACGTTGGTTGAGACTGCTGTTTGACATGCAAATAAAATTGAAACAACCTCATGCGCGCAATGCTGCATAATTTTGTTAAATGTTCGAGATTATTATTTGCAAACATCGGGTTTTACATTTATTTGACATTTTGTAAAGACATTTGTTTCCATTCCAGTGAAACTCACAACCATGTAACATGACTCAGCATTACACAAAAGCCATAAGTGCCCTTCAGCTTAATTTTCTCAGGCTGTATTGATACTGCTGGCAGTGTCGCTCACAATGTTTTGTGGGCTTTTATCCAACTGTTTGTCGATGTATTTTCAGTCTTTGATTTGTTTTCTCCAAAGTGCTGGGGTAAGCTTGGCTTTACTACTCTAACCTATAATTTGGAGTATGAAAATTAATCTGATGTGTTGTGTTTCGGGTATTTTTGGACCTGCCTCTGTTGAAACTGTGCACTAGACCTGCCAGAAAATGCTCCATAACTATCTCCGAACCGTTGTGTAAAGAATATAGTAATAATGAGGAAGGCCTATACACAATGACCGGTTTCAGTTTCAATTAAGTCTTTTATAAGCAGACTATAAACTGTGAGGGTTTGTGCTGTTCACTTAAATACCAACTTTCTCCTCTTGTCATGATCCCCTTGTTAGACCGCCCCATGCCCCACTCATCTCTCCCATCTCTGTTTAGACCGGGAGCGGAACAGACAGGTCTTTTCAGCGGGGAAGGGCACACAGCAGTGGATTATGCCCTTCCTCCCCCACTTGCCTTTATTCACCACCTGCCCCTTTACCCCTGCCTCCTTTCTCATTATCTGCCCCAACTCAATCCCTTTGTGCCTCTGGAGTCTCCTGGTCCACTCCTGGAATAATCTTCTCATTGTTATCATAATATGTGCCTCTTAAATGTTATGTTTGTATCTCTCCTATGTTATTCTTGTTAAGTATAGGGCCGGGGTCTTCGGCTGTGCTGGGTAGTAACCGTGTGGTTCAGGTGTGGGTTTACATGCCTCATTACACGAAATGAAAAGCCTGGAGTTTGAGAGAGGGGGGGGGGTAGAGGGTCAGGGGTTCAGGTGGAGCTATTATGCATCCTGTATAATTTTGACAATGAATAATGTTGTGGAACAAAGGACTAAGATCAATTTTTGTGTGCTGCTGCTGTCCCATCTGAAATAGTTGTCTGAACGCTGCAGCTGACATTTATTGCAACACTACATTCTATATGATGGCTGTATTGCATCCATAACCATAAGTGTCTTTGCAATATTGCTGAATTAAGTATTATTGGACTTTAAGGCTTTATTTGATTGTGCACAATCGTAATGGAACTTTGTAAAAATGTAACTGCTCTGCATGTGTCTTCATTACAGCTCCTGTGTCTTACTCAATGCCTTACTTTTGTAACTGTGATGCTATGGGGAGACTAAAAATGGGATTATCCTGGATTATCTTTTAGGATGTATGGATTACCTCTGTACTAAATGTAATCTTCTGTGTATTGTATATTTTTGTTGTTATGTAAAAGGCAATGGATGGTCTTCATTTGCTTCTTCAAATAAATATTAAGTAATTTTGCGACCAGTGTGTCTGTACAGCCCTTCTACTGAATTGGACGTTTTAGTTTGATATGATTTATAATAAAGTATGATGACTGATGCAGAAAACATCATAGGATTTTCTCTTTTCTCATTTATAGGCCTACATTTAAATCTATCCATCCATATATGCTCAACTGCTCATTTTCACTCAATAGACATATCTACTTTAGACATTTATCCCCCAACCATCCAATTTCTAATCTGCACTTCCACCCGTCCGCATGATCCCCGCACACAGCAGGCCACAGTAGCCAGCTGTTGGATTATTGCCACGGTTCTATCTCATCGGGGAAGGCGTGTCACTCCCCGAATTACCCAGCGCCCCTTTGTCCTCGATCGGTGCCCAGCCAGCGACACTCATGGCGGCTGCACCCGTCAGGCAGCGCTCCGGGCCAGGGGGAACCCGGGCGCAGCTCCCGCCCTGCTACTACGAAGGATACCTGGAAAAGCGAGGACCGAAGGAGAAGGTAGGGTCGCCCGGCGCAGTGCCATGTTGTTTCCTGTGCATGCTGAGGATAGCGGTGGTCAGTATGACACCGGCTGATCCCCCATTCCCAGAGAGCTGTCAACTTCCTCCTGGTGTAGAATGGGCGAGGCGAGACTGCACTGCTGGTGGGGATTCTTGACATGCCGTGTGTTGTGCTGCTAAATATGATTTAGCAACAATCTGACATGCAGCGAATTATGATCGAATTTAGACGCATGAATCGTGTAAACATGACTGCTGTCAAAACATTGCATTTCATTGAAATCGTTTGAACGATTAGCGGCTTTATCTTAATTACTCACTCACCTACAATGTAATGCTGACTTATTTTACCATATTCTGACAGCCTGATCCATTAGGTTCATTTTTACTATCTCAAATAGAAAGTTGTACACAGTAAAATTGTTTCTCTTGTGCATGTTGTTATAGATATATAAAGTGATACATACAGAATGGGATACCCTCCCCCCAGGCTCTTCCCTCTCATTAGGCTCATTTTAATGCAATATAGACATGTAATGTGAGCCTGGCTCAGGTGCAGGGTATTGCTCTGATCCATAGCCACAGATTGACAGCAGCTGTGACTCACTTCCTATTCATCTCTTGGGACAGGAAATGGGGGGTGATAAAAAGGGAAATATCCATTACACACAAACACAGCTTTTCACATCTCTGCTTGTGTCTTTGTGTGACAGGCGTCCAGGCGGCTGTGGACCTGTCTGTGTGGGAATTCTTTGTATTTCTTCAATAACGCCAAGGACAGCCATGTAAGTTTCAGACTGTGGACACTATGTTGTTTGTGCATCATAGTGTGTTGAAACTGATGCATGCTTATATGTGTGTTACAGTTTGTGGAGAAGCTGGACCTCAGTGGGTTTGTGTCCCTGAAGGACGACTGCAGCCGGGACAGAAACCTGGAGGCAGCCAGACTCATCCTGCGCATGAAGGATGGAGAGACCAAAATCACAGTAATACTATTTAACACACCAAATCACTGACATTAAAATACGTTTTACGAGGTGTAACAATGCTATTGTCTCTTTCAGGCCCCTAACTTGGAATCAAGGGAGCTGTGGAAAGGTTTCCTCTACTCCGTTGTAGATGTAATTATTCATCTTTTGTACACCTGCATCAATTTATCTCTCTCTTGTGCCATCTTTAAAATATTCTCTCCTCTTTCCAATCACAGCTGAATGTACCATCCTATCTCACGTTGCTGCCTGGCCAGCTGCAGATGCTGAAGGAGGTGGTGGACAAAGAAAGATCCAGGAGGAGAACCCGCACCCCCACACGCGCTCCTCCCTCACGCGCTCCTCCCTCACCCCTCTCCGTGCCTTTAGTAGGGGAAATCCCACCGTGAGTTCTCCTTGAGAGGATAGTAGCTTTAATGTGTGACTATATGCCCATTTTTAATGTGTGTTTGTGGCATGCAGGTGTTTCCGACCGGTGTCTCGAACAGAGGCTGAAGTCCTTTTAGAGAGACACCCAGACTGTGGCAACATGCTGCTCCGTCCAGGAAGAGACGGGTGCTCATTGGCTGTCACGACTCGCCAGGACCTCAATGGGTAAACCCCTGCTGAACATCTGATCACCATGGCTTTAAATATCAGAGTTATGTACTGCAAATGTTACACGATTTGTGTGTTTCTCTCTTTTGCTCCAGGTCAGTGTTCAGACATTACCGTGTGACTCAGAGGGACCAAGGTGGTTACATCATTGATGTAGAAAATCCTGTGAGTGTATTAAACACATACACTTCAAGTCTTACATTTCTTAAAATGAAATTATTTTGTCCTAATCATTTTTTTTATTTACTTACCTTATTATTCAGTTTTTAATGTTTTGTTGTATTTTCATTGTTTTTTTTCTTCAGTCCAACGCTTGACTTATGTAATGTGAATCACTCCATGAACACATTTTTTTATAATAACACTATTAAATAATCATTATTTAATGTGGATCAGTTATATCATGGCTAATACCTGGCCAAAATCTGCTTAGTTGTATTAGTACAAATACAAAAACGACATATTGGATCACTGACCACTGTCAATTTTTCAAAAGTAAATATAGCTACTATCCTGAATTTTCTCTCTCAATTTTTAAGAGGATTGTTTGGGAAATGGCATCAGCCAGGAGTTAATATAGAACATGCTTTGAGATGATAGCAATCAGCAATGTTTCAGACTCAATAAAAACAGCTTTGACATATACCAGCAGCTTTAGGTGTATAATAAAATGGATCCCCTTTTCCAGATTCCCTGTGCTACCCTTCACGAGGTCATCAACGCTCTGGTAGAGAAGACGGCAGGAACTCTGCAGCCTTTCCTCCTGGAGGAGCCTTACGAAGAAAATATCAGTGAGGAAAACATGCAGCACAAAGATATTCTCAAGATTCATTTGTTGTCTTCATTAGCACTTTATTACGAGTATTTAAAGAGGCTGACCACCTTTTATTCTGTTTGTGTCATCAGCATATGTTTCTGCCAATGATGAGAATGGAGAAAGGATCCTCCACACTGCCCCCTCCAGCCCCCTGCCAAAGGCTCCTGCCCTGCCTCCAAAACAAGGTTTGTCTTGGTCACAAAAAACAACATGCAGACACTCGCAGACAGACAGAAGTATTCATCCTTGCTTTTCTTCTGGTGCAGATCGCTGGCCCAGCAGCCCCCTGAACAGGTCACCCGCCCCAGACCGCCGTATCCTGACCTCATCAGTGCCGGCCTCACCCACCAACCCAATGAGAAGACTCATCCTCTCCCCTTCACCTCTCGCACAGAGTGAGTAGACAACGAAGAGCCAACCTGCTGCAGTCCATCCTGATTTACAGTTAACAACAAAAGAATATCACATTCAATATCTGAGGAGCAATACAGTTAATCATGCAATTACATCTAGTTATCTAAGAGCTAGAGCTGAATTCATTAGGCAGAAAGATAATTGCCAGGTATTTAAATAATTGATTAAAGTATGGATGGAAGAAATGGCAGACAGTGCTGTTTTCCAGCACTCAAATATGGAAATGTATGGTCATTTATGTTCTTTGCAGACCTGCTAAAAACAAATAGATATACTGCACAAAAAAAGTACCTAAACCTGCCATATCTTCTGTCTTTTCCACAGCTTTCAATGAGGAACTCAAAATGAAGCTGGAGAAGAGACGAGCCAGTCAGGAGTGATTGACTCATCATGAGGAACAACCTTCTGTCACCGCATACTCAATCTTCAGTGCCAAAACCCTTCTTACCGCAGCTATGTATTTATCCTGTGCCTTCTAGGTGGAAGACAAGGGACTATAAATATTGCCACTTTCTCTAAGGGAGATACAAAACGTTGGACTGATTAAATGGACTTTAGTTGGCTTGTTAAGAGCAAGATTGCCTGGAAAACACTGGATTAGGTTCATAAAATGCCTTGGTTGGGGTAACAATCCACTGGTGCTTTGTCCACTTGCAAAAAGCTGTTTACAAACTGCATCTGAGCAAAAATAATAGTGCCACAACAAATTATTTCCCTTCAGAATACAGCCCACACTGACTCAATATGACTGGCAGCTAAAAAAAAGAGAAGCACTGACACAAACCGGACCACCTACTGAGCCTGATGTTTTCTCGTCTGAGCCCCTGTCTGAGCTGCTGATGTGACTGCTGCACCACTGGAGACTAAGAACACAAGCAAACCTAAGACTGCCGAGATCAACACCGAAACAACAAACTCTGACCTGAGACTCTTTGTCTGCTCTGAAAGTAAAATAAGCCAGGCATGATCAGGTTTCAGTTCAGCAATTCTGTTCCCTCACCTCGTCATATGAAACATGCCTGAAAAAATATATTGTCTGAATACAGAAAACAGCTGGCCAGAAAACTGCACAATCTCTGCCTGCTGCTCATGAGTGCTATTTGTGATATATAAGCAACCATTAATGTATTGTTGATTCAGTGACACTGTTGTGGCTCATCAATGACTCAACTTTAACCATGCTGTTAGTGCTTATTTTAAAGTGTTTCCTTATTCTCTGCCAATGTGTTTGTGCTACTGTATGGTGCTATGAATGGACATGGAAATTCCAGATGATTTCAATACTTTCTCAAGAAAATCTATCTACTGTACTAATATGAGGTTGCCCTCTAGTGGAATATCTTTTAACTCAAGCGGCAGAAACTAAAAAAGCACAGTGTTTGGATATGAAGTACATTTTTTTTATGTTACAGTCTAAACCCAGCAAAGACTTTTGGCTTTATCACAATATGTTGCCATGCCCTACCTCTCTACCTTTAATAATGAAATTACAATTTATTACAGGTCTGAAGGAGCTTAAACAATAACAACATGTATTTCTACATTGACATTGTTATGTCAATTTGCAAGTATATTTGAAGTCCGTGAATATTTGTGGCAAACTGTGATCAATAAGTGTCCTCTTAAAATGAACAGTTTCTTGTATGTTTGTACATGATGTGTTGTGTCTACTTGATCACTATCAAAGAATAGTGTTTGTTAGATATCAAGTGCATTAAATGTTTTTTGCATGGATGAGATGTGTCCTTTTTGTGAATCGATAGCTTATGCTTTATCAACAGTG